GAAAGACATTACGAGCCTCAGCTTATACGCAGAGACGGAATAAGTGTATATTGGAATAGAAGTGAAGGGGGAGGAGAAACACCAACAAATGAATCTCTTCTTCTTTATTTTAAATTACTTTCTCTTCTCACCATGCACGGTGTACAGACAGCTCAATACTGGGCTGCAGCAGCAGAATGTGCGCTATGCAGCAGCAGCACAAACACAACCATCAACGGATCTTCTTCTCCTGCTGCAGCAGCAGCAGCAGTTGCTGCTGCTGCTGCTGGGGCCGGGGGGCCCCAGGGGGGGGCCCCCAACAGCAAGAACGGCTGCTGCTGCCCATGGAGATTCGCCGTGGTGACCCACTGCACCCATGGATTGAATAGAACGGGGTATATGGTGTGTGCGTTGCTGATGCTGCTGCTGGGCCTGACAGCAGCAGAGGCGCAGCAGGTGTTTGCTGCTGCTCGTGGGTACGGGATTCAGAGAGAAGAAGTTGTTGCTGCGCTGCAGCAGCTGCAGCAGCAGATGCAGCAGCAGCAAGAAGAATATAATACACTTGTACAGGCACTCACACCACCCGTGCTGCAGCAATCCTTCGCTAGGAATGCTGCTGCTGATGGGATAGATATAGAAAAGGGGAGCTGCTTGATTCGTGTTGCTGCTGCTGCAGATACAGCAGCAGCAGCAACAGCAGCAGCAGCAGCAGCAGCAGCAGCAGATGATCAGGATGATGATGCTAGGTTTATTCCTATACCTGAAGCATTAAAGAAGAATCTCCTCGCTTATAGAGAAGCAGAAAAAGATAGAATGCTGAGAGCGAAGCAGCCAAGACAGAGGCAGCAGAAGCAGCAGCAGCAGCAGCAGCAGCAGCAGCAGCAGAAGCAGCAGCAGAAGGAGGAAGAGCAGCAGCAGCAGCAGCAACAGGAGAAGCAAGAAGAAAAGAAAGAAGAAGGTATAAAGACAGAAGAGAAAGACGATGGAGCCGACGAAGAAACAAAAAACGAAACAGAAACCAAAAACGAACCAGCAGCAGCAGCAGCAGCAGCAGCAGCAGCAGCAGCAGCAGAGCTAACAGAGGAGGAGCTGCAGCGTCTCCCATCGATCCCAGAGACGATCCCCAACAACGGAGTCGTTTTGTTTGGGCCTCTATCCAACGCGCTGCTGGCCCCTGAGGAGGCGTTGCTGCACCTGCTGCATATACACCCCAAGCTGCGTATTTGTGACTTTAGGGTTCTAGTAAATGAAAATATAAATAAATTTAATTTATATCCTGCAGCAGCAAAAAAAAACGGATTCAAAAGAAAGAGGAGAGTTGGTGTGCCCCCACAGAAACAAACAACAGATACACTGCAGCAGCAGCAGCAGCAGCAGCAGCANGAACAGCAGCAGCAGCAACAAGACCAGGAGGAGCAGCAGCAAGCAACCAACAGCAGCAGCAACAGCAGCATAAACAGCAGCAACAGCAGCAGCAACAGCAGCAGCAGCAGCAGCAGCAAACCACTACAATACCACTACATTCTCTACATCCAAGCGTGT